AGGAATATCCTGTACACTGCTGTGTGTCCCAGCAACAGCCTCACCTTTACCCTGCTGCATCCCACCTGGAAACATCAGGGAGATCCAAGGCACCATTCCTGTGTGGAGAGGAGTGCTCATGGAACTGTCCTTCCATCCTCATGGAACAGAGCCACAGACAACCTTCCCACCCCCTGTCCAGGTGCCAAGGGCCTTCCTTCAGCCTGTTCCTCAAGAGAGAGGGCAGCTCAGGCAGTCAGGATTAAATTCTGGCATGGAAGTGCCTGAGTGACCTGTGAATGGAAGTGTTTTGGGATGAAGGGTCTCCCTCCCCTCCTCTCTGCACTCCCCCAACTCTCTCTCATATCTGTGATCCTCTCCACCATCCTCTACCTCTCCTGGAAAGAAAAATGAGATGTGAAAGGAAAGGAGCACTGGGGGAATGTGGGAATGCAGCTGCCTCAGCACCAGCCAAGTCCTTCGTTGCTTGTCAGGAGGAGCTGTGGTGTGAGGGAGCCCTGAGCCCCCGCCAGCCCCGTACCTGCTCCCAGCCTCTCCTTCCAGGGGTGAAGTCTGGAGCAGCTGCTCCTTTTCATTTCAGCTGGGGGATTTGGGCTATTAATAAGCCTGGAAAATAACCACATGTTCCCTGAATTATGTAACAGATGTTCAATTCCCCGAGATGAAGAGGTGTCAGCCTGATGGAAGAAATGATGTGAGGACCTTTCTTTTTCCTTGGAGCTGGGTTTCTCCTCTTACGAGCGGAATTGATTTTCTGCCAGTGGAGAGAAAAGAAAGTGGTGTCACCCCGCTTTGGACCCAGCCCCACCTTTGCTCCGTGGCTGTGTTTGTGCTCGTGCCGCCTGTCCCCGGGTTTTGGAGACAAGTGTCACCCGAGTGGCACGGAGGGATGTGCCGGGAGGAGCGCGGCTCCCTGAGGCACCATCGGCGCTGGCTCGGGGCGGCCGCGTCCTTCCACGGGCACGGGGAGAGAGGAGGAGGAGAGGGAGCCCAAGGCCAGGAGCTTCCAGAGCTGGGCCAGCGAGGGGCTGGGCGGAAAATGCCTTCCCAATTAATCCTTTCCGTGATACAGCGAGGTGTTCCCAGCCTCACTGGGGTGCTGTGAGAGGGGCTGGAGTGAGGACACAGGAGGAGGTTTAGGGAGGGGGTTAAAAAGGGTTTCGTTCCGTATTTTCTTTGATAATTTTTATTTTTAGGGTTGCTGTTCCTGATCTTACTCTCTCACAGAGTGAGCACTCCTGAGTAAAGGACCTCAGCAGTTCAGAGTGGTGTTTGCCCACGATGGAGCTCTCCCTAAAATCCCTGCCGTGGCACCTGGCATAAAGATTGAGGGCACACCTTGAGGGTGAGGCACCTCCAGTCCTGTGTGCAGTTCTGGGCTGCTCCAAGGAAGATCCTGAGGGGCTGGAGCGGGTCCAGAGAAGGGAACAGAGCTGGGAAGGGTCTGGAGCCCCAGGAGAGGCTGAGGGAGCTGGAAAGGGGCTCAGCCTGGAGAAAAGGAGGCTCAGGGGGGCCCTTGTGGCTCTGCACAACTCCCTGACAGGAGGGGACAGCCGGGGGCTGCCCAGGGAGGTTTGGAGTCCCCATCCCTGGAGGTGACCAAAGAAGGGCAGGATGTGGCACTCAGTGCTTTGGGCTGGGGACAAGGTGGGGACCAGGCACAACTTGGACTGGATGATCCTGGAGATCTCTTCCAAGCTCAGTGATCCTGGGATTGGAAGATGGAGGGGAGCTGTCAGCAGCTTCACAGAACAGCAGAGCAGTCCCTTGGGAGAGCCGTGTCTGGATGGAGATTGTAGACCTGGGGCCCAGGGGTGCCACGTGTTCTATTGGTGAGATACCAGTGAGACAGAAATCGGGGGCACAGGGATGGCTGCGCTCCTGGAGGAGCTGCTAGCTGCTCCCTCCCAGGGGTGACTCTGCTCAGACATTCATTCCTGTTCATTCCTGTTCATTTCTGTTCATTCCTGTTCATTCCTGTTCATTCCTGTTCATTCCTGTTCATTTCTGATCTGCTCCACAATCTCCCGTGTCTCACCCTGGCAGGACAGCAGTGAGACCCTGTCCCAGCACCGTGCCTGTTCCTCCCGGGAACGCTCGGGAACACGGCTCAGACACAGCCAGGGGTGGGGACAGGTCCTGTGGGAGGGGACAGGTCCCGTGGGAGGGGACAGGTCCCGTGGGTGGGGACAGGTCCCGTGGGTGGGGACAGGTCCTATGGGTGGAGACAGGTCCCGTGGGTGGGGACAGGTCTCGTGGGTGGAGACAGGTCCTGTGGGAGGGGACAGGTCCTGTGGGAGGGGACACGTCCTGTGGGTGGGGACAGGTCCCATGCGTGGGGACACGTCCTGTGGGTGAGGACAGGTCCCATGGGAGGGGACAGGTCCTGCTGCAGCTGTGGCCATGCTCTGCCACCACCACCGTTAATGACACTGCAGGGAAGGGCCCTCCTGGTTTCTGCCCTCTTTTTCACATCCTGCGTGAGGCAGGGACAGAAATGAAGGAAGTGACTTCCTAAGTGTGGAATCAGCAGGGTTTAGGATGTGCAGGGAATGTCCGGAGCACAGATAGCTAATCTGGACAGGCTGTCACACGGCTGGATCCCCCAGACAAAGAATTGAGTGTTGGCCACTTGGCAGGAAAAAAGAAACGTGGGGAACAGGGGACTGAATTTTGGGTTGTTTCCCCATTCCTGCCCAGTTCCCCTTCCCTTGTCCTTCAGGAGCAGTTGACAGCCGTGCACTCGGTGTTATTCACTGCTCACCACTGATTAATGTGCTGCTAATGGCATTACTTATTTCATTATCCAATCTGCAAGATCAGTCATTATCTAGGGAAAAGGAAAGTCCATTTCTTACTGGCATTAAATGGTTAGCTGGCAGGGTAAAGTGCAAGGTTCACATTTAGGAAGAGGAGCAAGAAGAAAATTTCTTTTCAGGAAGAAAATTTGCACTGAAAGTCATCTCCATGTTTGTATTACCCAAAGAGTGGAGCTCAGATATCAGAGGAGGTGTTGTAAATCACAGACATAAAAGAGCTCAAAACATGAGGATTGTATCAAGAAGGTGCCCTCAGAGGGCTGGGATAACAGTGCTGGTAGTAATAATAATAATAATAAATAATTATTAAAATGAATAATAATACACCTTGGAGGTCTGGGTCAGAGCTCAGGTGCTTGAGGTGTTGTGCAATTGCAGCCAAAGAAATTGTTGGTTCCAATTCTCCTTGCACAAAAAGGGCGAGCGAGGCCAGCTGGCGAGTGACAGATGGGCAGGGGACAGCGGGGAGGGGACAGCGGGGAGGGGACAGCAGAGACGGGACAGAAGGGACGGGACAGCAGAGAGGGGACAGCAGGGAGGGGACAGTGGGGAGGGGACAGCAGGGAGGGGACAGTGGGGAGAGGACAGCCGGGGCGCGGCCCGGGGCCCGGCAGGACCGCGGCTGGCACGGAGCCGGTGTCAGGGAGGATAACGAGGGGCACCCAGGGGAAGCGGGGCCAGCTAAGGGCGAGGAATAAAATGTCTGTCAGAACAGAGTGAGAGCCTGGCTGAAGGATCAGAGATTCATGGAATATCCTGAGTGGCAAGTGTTAGGAAAATTAATCCACAAACACCAGAGGTTTATGTCCAAAAAGGAGACAGAGGAGTCCTTTTTGCTTTATTCGAATAAAGGGGGAGGCCATGGGACATTTCCCTAGGATTTCTCAAAGTTTTGGAGGACACAGCCTCCCTTTTTATCCCAATTTCCCATCCACATTTCCCTCTCTCTTTCCCCATGGCTGAGGTACTTGTGAGGCACAGACTTCCCAGAACACCTGATACCTGAGATTCCCCTCTAATGTACAACCCTCCCTTTTAATTTTTAATTCTTACAGAATTAATGATTTTTTCCCATTGCTTCTTTCATCTTTCAATATCCAATTTCATTTATCAGCAAACTTACAGTTTGTTTGTAAAGGCAAATCTCTTTTTCCATTCATCAATCAGTGGAATCCTTCCCATTGTTTCTTTTATCTCTCAGTGCTGGTTTTATCCACCAGCAGATCCACAGCTTGTTTGGAAAGACAAATCCGACATTGCTCTCGCAAGGATCCGCAAGGATCGTGGAACTCAACTCCTGACCATGCACAGGACAGTGCCTAAACCCCCTAAACCACGTGCCTGGGGGCATTGTTCAAACGCTCCTTGCCTCATGGGTGATGTCCCAAAAGGAATGGGGATGGGGGGCAGCGGGGTCCGAGCCACGAGGGGCCCTGGCACGGCCACGCTGGCCCGTGCTGGCCACAGAGAGAAGGGGAGCTGTGGCCGTGGGCTGGGAGTGGCCGCGGGGCGCTCTGGGGACAGGAGCTCGGTGACACGGCACAGAGGGGATGGTCAGGCTTGGAGGGTTTGTGTCACCGCTGGAGAGGTGACACTCGCCGAGGGGACACCCCGGGGGTCCCTGTGGTGGCACACCTGAAAGTGAAAGGTGCCCGGGTGGCCGCGGTGCCTCCGGGCTGGGATCAGCCCCGGCCGGTGGCACCGCCTGGCACAGAGTGGGGCACTGCAGAGACCGCAGCGAGGATCCAGCCTGGCACTGGGGGCTGTGGGATCCTGGCCGGGGGCTGGGGGAGGCCCGTGGGGGTGTTCGGAGGAGCCTTTCCAGCATGTCCCCAGCGCTTCCAAGGAATGCCCGTCCGAGTTCTCCCAGCCCCGGGCTGGAGCCAGCCGTGCCCCTTCCATCTGCTCGGTGCCAGCTCTGCACTGCCAGCACCCGAACCCATGGCTGGTGCCCCAGGGCGAGCGGGGCTGCGTCCCCGAGCACACCATTCCCTTGGCATGGCGCATTCCCCCGCTTTTTTTGGGAACTGAACATCTGTTCCAGATGTGGCCGCTCGGTGCCGGCGCTGCCGCGCTGCTGTTTGTCCCGCTGCTCGGCATGAATTATTGAGAGCCGGGTTTAAATAAATGATAAAGCCTCGCCGTGCGTGCGCTGAAGTTTGTGTCGCTCCTCGCCCGCAGGGTCGCACTCCGGGCTCGCCCGGCCCCATGATGAGCTCGCCCAGCGCCCGGGCCCCGCCGACTCGTGTGCCCGATGGGGCTGATCCAGGAGCCGGCAGAGGGGCAGCCCAAGCATGAAGGTGGCCGCGGGGATGAGGCTCCCGGCGAGAAGGAGGAGCCGTCGCAGCGGAGCAGGCAACCAGAGTTCCCTTCCTGGCAAGTGCTTTTCTGCTCTGCCATCCCTTCCCGGCGGTGGGAGGGAGGCAGGGAGGGAGGGAAGGAGGGAGGGCGTGGGGACACCGCCAGTGCGGGGAATGTCGCGATGGGGACGGTCCTTGGTTCGAATCCTGCAGCAGAACCCGCCCCAGGCGCTGCTGAGCGCGCACAAACCCTCAGCATCCCCCGGGAGGGCGAAGGGACCCTGGGCTGCAGCCAAAGGTGGGTTCCAAACCCAGCCAGCCCCTCCTGTCCCGCTGCCTCGCGCCTGGGAAGTCCGAGTGGAATTTTGGAAGCCTGGTAGCCTTGGAAATTGATTTTTTTTTTTTATTACTTTTCTTTCTTCACCATTTTGAAAAATGGCTTGACTCACAGTTGCATGAGGCTGTGGGGACTCACAGCAGACCATCTGTTTCAGCTGTTAACAGTCATTAATTCTTTCGTATTTTTTGCTACTTTCGAGACACTTTGGGGGAAAAAAAATTGTTCTGGATGGCATTGGAGGAGTTCAAAGTCACTAACATATTTTTCTCAGAGAAACAATGTGCCGTGAATACAGTTGTTCTGAAAGAAACACGTTTTTATTGGCTTTCTAAATGGGGAATTTGTCTCCTGTGGCCATGCAGGAGGACATGGTGTTTATCTCCTTTTCACCATGTATTTGGCTCATACCTGCACTGCAATCCATGGACTGAGCAGGTTTTTTTCTGGGTTGAATCTATTGCAGAAAGGCTTTCATTAAAAAAAAAAAAAAAATACAGTAAGATTTTCTCTTAAGCTACTTCATTTCTGGGCCCAAGCACTCAGTGATTAACTCAGCCAGATTGTCTCCAGTCCTCCTGCTCAGGCCCTGGACAAACCCATGCTGTGGTCACTGTCACCCCCCGGGCACACTGGCCCTGCTGCCATGTGTTCCCTGAGCCAGCTCCTCCAGAGGGGCTGTTCCTGAGCCCTGGCTGGAGTCCAGCTCTCCTTCATTCAGGGCTTGGGGTGCCCCTCTGGGCTTCACCCCAAAGCCCCCCTGGAGGCTTCCCTATGGTTCATGGAAAGTTTTAGGTGCAAGAAAAGAAACCATCCTTGATTTTTGCATGGAGTGCAGGACACAGGGAATGGTTTTAACTGCCAGAGGGCAGGGATGGGTGGGATATTGGATATTGGGCAGGAATTGTTCCTGTGAGGGTGGGCAGGCCCTGGCACAGGGTGCCCAGAGCAGCTGTGGCTGCCCCTGGATCCCTGGCAGTGCCCAAGGCCAGGCTGGACATTGGGACAGTGGAAGATGTCCCTGCCCATGGCAGGGGTGGCACTGGATGGGCTTTGAGGTCCTTCCAACCCAACCCATTCTGGGATCATTCCACGATTTAAGGAAATGGAAAGAGGGTGCAGTACCTTGGAAACACGAGGTGGGGAGGTGGTGTCAGCCCCTCCAGGGGATGCCAGGTGCCACCACGAGGCCGTGGGGAGGGCAGAGCAGAGCAGAGCAGAGCAGAGCAGAGAGCTCTGCCTTGTGGTTGGGTCCTGCATTTGTGCTGGGGGTAAAACACGACCAGAAGCCTCCAGAGCTGCTCCTGGGGCTGCTGCTGGGGAATGCAGGGCAGAACGGCCCTGCCTTGCTGGTGACACCTGGGAGGGGACAGCCAGGAGCCCGGGAGGGGACAGCCAGGAGCCATGGAATGCTTCCAGCCATCCATTAGGACTGCAGCTCTCAGTGGAATTACAAACGGGGCTGGAAAGGCTCCCTGGAGCTGGCCAAGGAGCCCTGCCCGGGGCTGGCTGGGGGAGCAGCTCCTTGGCACTGCCTCTGGGGCCAGGCTGAGGCTGAGCTTGGTTTGTGGCACCAAGGCACACGTGGAGACAGGAGTGACACAAGATGGCAAACCCCAAATACCCCCATGGGGCAAAGCAGAGTCCATAGGAGTGCCCTGAGAGCTCAGCTCAGGTCTGGATGATCCCACGTTCCAGGGATGGGCTGGAGGCACCTCCTGACCTCTCCCAGGACATCCCTGGCTCTCTGCTCTTGTTCCTGAGCAGGGGCTGTGCCCCAAGTGCTGGAGGACAGCCAGGCCGTGCTCACCAGCAGAAGGTGAAGGAATTCACATCTGGAGCCTTGGAGACATTTGGGGCCAGTGTGGTTTTCATTTGAGGCCTTTCCGTTCTCCATTGACTTAATTAAATAAAAAAAAAAAAAAGGAAAAAAAAAAAGAAAAGAAAAAAGAAGCAGGCAGGATTGGGCTTTTTCCCCCCCCTTTTTTTTTCTGATCAGATGCCTGGCTCGGAGTGCTAGAGAGCCAATTTTCATTTTGAAATTTCCTTTCATTTTAAAGCTCCTCACATGAATTTGGAGCTGCAAACCGAAATGAGGAGGTGTCAAGACTTCACAAACAAACCCAACCCCAAACCTATTCATTAACTCAAAAAACATCTTCTGTTTTGTCAATTTTCTGGAAAAAAATTAATTTTTTTTTTCAAATAAAAACTGAATTAAGCAGAAATATTCCTCATGTTTTGCTGCAGGGGAGAGGAATGGGGGTTGGCTCTTGGCTGAGGGCTCCTCTCCTCCTTTGCCTTCCTGCTGCGAGCCTGTGCCATGGGACAGACAATTTCTGGGCCATGGATGGACATTTGCAGGTCTGATAAGGATGATTTGAGATCCCAATTGTTCCTGATGCCTCAACATTTGTTGGTTTTCCATCATCCATTCATCAT